ACAGACAGAGACAAAAACATATGGAGGGAGGAAGGGAGGGAGGGGGAATGGATGGTCCCTTTCCTGAGAAAGTGTACTGAATGGAGAAAGAGCTCAATAAATTCTGCTACCACATTACAGAAAAGTTCAACATTTCCAAAATCTTAAAGATGCTATCTTTTGGAAGAAATTCTTTTAAAAAATCTTGAGCCCTTCTGCCAACAAACACGGCACTAGACAACCTGTAGAGCATAGCTTTGGGGAGAACTCCTTTGGACCACTCACAAACGCTAAATTAAATTCACTACTTACAATTAAGAAAGCAATTTTATTTTATTTTTTGGTACCAGGGATCGAATTCAGGACCTTGTGCTTGTGGAACCACTGAGCTAAATCCCTGACCCAAGCATTTTTTTTTAAACACAACTGGGCCGGGTATTTAGCTCAGTGGTTCTGGTGCCTGCCTCGCAATCACAAGGTCCGGAGTTTGATCTCCGGTACCAAAAATAAATAAATAAATAAAACACAACAAATTTTATCAACCCGTGGTATATAGGGCAGGTTATCACAACCTTAAAAAAGAGAAAATAGGCCCAAGAGGTTAGTGTGCCCCAAACTACATCTCATTGTAAGAATTGGAGGGTGCTGTGGCCGAAGTGCCCCTAACCTAACCTGCTGGGACCCTCTGGACGCAAAGAGCTGTCACTGCAGCTCACTGTCTTGAGTGGGCAGTGGGTCCCCGCTCACATCTGCTGCTTCTAAAGCTCCTTCATTACAGATGCATAGGCACTGAAAGTAGAGGGCAGTCTTTGTGTATATGAAAACACACTATTTATACAGGAAATTTTATCCTGCATACATATATGGAGATAATATTCCATCCACGAAATTGACATAAAATATGTTCACATCTGCATGACCTATCTAAATGAGGTATATATCTGATATAAACGAGGATTATATATTAACTTTCCTTACACTGTATCCATCCATAAACATGACTTTACCTGCACTACTTTCCAGTGTTTCCTACCCCTCATAAAAAATGTGATTTGAGAAAAAAAATTTCAAAATATTGATATATTTACATTTTTTAAAAAAAGAACTGAAAACCAAGACCTCTTAATTCCACTTCTAAATTCTTTCCACTACATCTTATGACCTACTTAAAAGCCACTGTTCCTATCAAGAATGAAGCAGCTTGTAGGTACCATCTTTACAATGATAGCCCTCACTAAGGGCTAAGGACAAGCTGCACCCACTATGCACACTCCATGGTGAATTCCCCTCACATCACTGTACTTACAGGAAAAACACTACACCTCAGCAACAAAAACCACCAGTGGTCACTACTCCTGCTTAAGTGGCTTCCAGGCCCCAGGCACTAGGAACACTTTACACACATTAATGTATTTATCCTATCCTCATAACTACTCTGGAACAATCATCCTTCCACAAAAGAGAAAACTGAGGCTAAAATGTTTATCAAGATCACAAACCTAGTAAATTTAAACCCGTGTCTTTTTCACTCCCGGAAACAATTAGAGCTTGGAGGAGCTCAATGTATCAGCCGCCTGCACATTATCCCCTTTGCTATAAATAGTGGTTCAAAAGCCACATCTACAAAATTTAAAACCACAGAACTCCAAAGAGATTCAGTAACTTGCCCCAAGATACACAGCCAACAAGAGGCAGAGGAAGGAAAGGCTGAAAAGTGTAACTCTACTGCTCCATACTGTTTCTAAAGGTCCTATAATGCAAAAGCACTATTTAACATTATTGGCTTATAAACTTAAAAGTCCATGAGGACAAGATTTTCAAACATTACAGTTTTGAACCTGGATTAGTAACCTCATAGACACACAATGTTTAAGAAAACTCAATTTGGTCAGGCATGGTAATGCACATGCACACCAGAATCCCAGCCACTCGGGAAGTTGAGGCAGCAGAATCACAGAGGCCAGACTGGGCGGGCAACTTAGTAAGACTATTTCACAAACAAAAAGGGCTGGGGATGTAGCTCAGCAATAGTGTCCCTGGGTTGGACGGCCACAACTGAAAAAGTAAAAATAAAAAAAGAAGCCATGCCTGTGATCCCGGGACTTGAGGCTGAGGCAATATTGCCATGAGTTCAAGGCCAGCCTGAACTACATATCAAGACCTAAGAAGGAAAAAGCAACCATGCAACCCTTTAATTTTATACTACCTTTATTCAATTGTTTTCTAATCTATAACTGGGCATGTTTTACACAACTGAATTAGAAATAGTATTTTTTTCTTTCTTTGTGAAAAAGTATTATCCTTCTCACACAGAAAATATATTTCATTTTTAAATGCTAAAAGCTATTGTGGTGGCACATGCCTATAATCCCAGCACTTGGGGAGTTCCAGGCCAGCCTGGGGTACATAGTGAGTTTAAGGCCAGTCTCAAAAAAAAAAAAAAAAGGAATATAGCAATCAAACTAACATCATGTGGAACTCCATCCTGTCAGCAGGAATGTATGTGCATAGCTTTAATGATGCTACAACTACATCTACAGTTCCTTCTGTGATGTCACAGGTTGAGTGATAACAGAGAAAAACCAATTCTCCCTGAATTCCAACAAACAGCACTACCTTTGGCTTGTTTTTGTGCAGTTAGTAACCCTTTCCATCTCTGTTTAAGTCTGTGCTATTAAAGGTCCTGTAGCCAATTTAACGAATAGTTTCGCCTCTTTTGTCCTTCAGGGAATCCAGGATGTGCCACAGAAGGGTGACCTGGCCCAAAAGAAGGTAGCATGACCAGGATGCAGGGAATAACTAGAAATTTAATATAGACCAAAGCCTAACTTTAATGCTCTGACAAGCAAATCCATAAAATAAACTGGGCAGTAAACATAGTTTGAAAACAATAGAAAAGAAACCAAAGCTAACCTAACCTATTACATCTTAAACTACCAAAGTAGCTATTCTGAAATTATGTAAAATTCACTAAAATATTCTTTGCGTGATTGTAGGAGGTCTAAAGTAAAATGGCAAAGTATATACCAAAGAGGACAACGCTGGAAACACCTCCTCCTACCTTATGGAAATAAACTTAAATAGGACCAAAAATTCTTAAAGAGCCTCTTGGGACCAGAGAGGTCTCACTATTATTTAGAATGCTCAGATTTCAGGAGACTAAAACAGTGTAG